CCTTACACTAGCATGCCGTGCGGTATGTCCCTTTGGACCCTGCCGCTGTGCACTAACCATTCCCTAGTGTGCTTTGATCTCCTCCCATTTCAAAGTGGGGTATATCAAAGCACACTAGGGAATGGTTAGCGTGTGGCAGCAGGGTCCATACTCGCCCTTAGTGCTTGGCAGGCTAGTGTGGGGTATATTTGCACCCCAGCTTGCCGCAAACTCAGTGTTTGTGTAGGCAAGCCCAAAGATGTTCTGAAAAATAGGAACCTAAACTGTTTTTCCAGCATAGTGATTACAATGGTTAATGCCTTACATTAGGGAGAAACTAAAATCTCCCTCTTTAGAGATACCATAAGACAGTACATTTGGGGGAGGGAGGTGTCAGGTCTGAAAAGTCAGGCACATCAAAGGATCCTGAAAAGTGTAACAGAGTTGTGCGTCAGGGAGGGGGCCATGACACAAGACATCTGAAAGAAGATGTGCCTCTCATGCCACATGTTGAAAGGGTCAGAAGGGAAAAAAGATGCACACTCTGGAAATATATGGTGTATGTAAGGGCTATTCAGCTTAGAAAAGGAACTAAGGGGATGGGTATTATAGAGATCTATAAAATTATGAATGATGTGGAAAAAGTGAATAGAGAACTGTTATTTACCATTTCATGCAATACAAAAACCAGGGGCGCTCGATTAAATTTATAGGCAACAGGTTTAATACAACAAGAGCAAGTACTTTATCACAAAATACACAACTAAACTGTGGGACTCATTGCTATGGCATGTTGTGATGCCCAAAGTATAACTTGGGTTCAAAAGGAACTGGATAAGTTCATGGAGGATAGGTCTATCAATGGCTATTGGCCAAGATGGTCAGAAATGCAACCTCAGAATGACCTAAAACTGACTTCCAGAAGCCAGGAGTGAAAGACAGGTGGATCACGTCATAATTGCCCTGTTTTGCATACTCCCCTGAAGGTTTGGTACAAGGCAAGATAGGATACTGTGCAAGATAGATCATGGTCTGACCCAGTATGGCAGCTGTTATATTCTTATGAGTCTTGAATTGTTTTGAGTTAAAGTCGCTGCATTATAACCTTGAAGGGAAGACAACCTTCTAATCTCCTGGCAGGGATATTTGGGTAGATAACAGTTCCTAGCCTGGTTTCTACTGAGGCAGCCACCTAAGAAATACCGTCACCACGGAATAGCTTATGAGGAAGGCTAGCCCAGTGGTCAGGGTACTGATCTCAGACTTCAGAGACCTCAGTTCAGTTCTCTGCTCTGCTATGGGTTTCCTGTGTGACCTTGGGTGGGTCACTTAGTCTCTCTGTGCCTCAGCGCCCGCCCCTCCTCCCACCCCCCCAGTGTTAACATAGAGGTAATTGTACTTTCCTACTTTGCAGGAGTGTTGTGATTATTAAAAGTGGATACTACAGTAATGGGAGTCATATAAGTATGATGAATTATAAGGAAAGTGAGCCGACCATGAGGAGTGGCAGAAATAAGGGACCTAAGGTTGAATTTACAAATGAGATGATGATGTTGTTCTCTATCTTTTTGTTCTTACTTAACACACACAGAACCACACTCCAAACTCCCTCAGATGTTGCTATGACAAGGGACAGACAGAGAGAGAACATACCAAACATACATGCCTGTAGTTTCCCAGCGACGAACCCTTTTGGGAAACACCTGCCTTCCCTCCCCAAGAACATTTGTCTTTAAAGGGAATGTATTTTCAATTCTTTTAGCATTTAATATTTTAAAACTAAGATTTTCAAGTCAACTGAAAGAGGTTTGCGGCAAAGTTGCAGTCCATCTGTATTCTTAGAGCATTCTTTCCTTGGTTGCTATATTTTTTCTTTGATTCAGGTATTGCTTCTATAAAATGACATGCTTTATTTCAAGCATGTGTTTGATTTAAAAATTACTTGGGGAAAAGAAACACCCATGCAGTAAATGGACAGATGATAATGTTGGTATTATTGGTATAAGAAGAATCCTTTTACCCCCCAAAATCTCACACTTATACCAAAGTGGGAAAAGAGAAGGAAAGAAGAGTTCACGTGGAAGTTTCAGAACCAAGACTCAAGAGTCTGTTGAGAATGGCAGATAGCTAACCATTTTCTGTTGGTTTGATGTGAATAAAGTTGTAATAAAATGAAAAAAAGATGACTTGGGATATGTCTTCATTCCAAAAAACGAGTTCTTAACTCAGGTTAGCTAACTTGGTTTAAAATAGCAGTGAAGACACAGCAGCTGGGTTTTTAACTCGGGTTAGCAGCTTGAGTTAAAGCCTATAGGGGAGCCTGGGTTGAACTAGAGCTGCTAATCCAAGTTGAAAGCAGAGTTGCCTTGTCTTCACTGTTATTTTAACCCAAGTTGAGAACGCACACTTTTTTTGTAGTGAAGACATACCCTAAGGATATGTCTACACTGCAGTTAGACACCCCACGGCTGGCTCGGGTCTACAGGGCTGTTTAATTGCAGTGTAGACATTTAGGCTCAGGCTGCAGCCTGAGGTCTGGGACCCTCCCACCTCACAGGGTCATAGAGCCTGAGCTCCAACCTGAGCCCAAACATCTACGCACAGTTAAACAGCCCCTTAGCCTGAGTCAGCTGGCATAGGCCAACCATGGGTTTTTAATTGCAGTATAGACATACCTTTAGATACCTAAACATCAGGTGCAAAATACTGCAACCCTGGAACTACTAGTTTGCAGAACCAGAGTTAGACAATCAAGGATCCTAGACACTTCCCTAAATGAGGCCTCCTCAGGGCTCTGGCCTTCCTTGGAATGGGGCAGGAGCAATCCAATAAACTATGTGATGGGGAGCCCTCCACCACTTCTCTTCAGGTAGCCCTGGCCCTTCTCTCACCAGCTGTCCCTGTGTTGGCAGGTTGAGTTCCATCCCAGAGGTGGGGAGAACTCAGTCGCTACCTACCAAAGCAGAGACTGCTTTGCCAACACCACCTCAGCAGAGCTATGATCAAGTAACTGCTGTGAGGGTGTTGTCAGGGCTGCCCACAGAGCAACAGGTGTCAGAGTTAACAACCCTTTAGACATCTGAACTATTGTTTCAGGCTTTCCACAGACTCAGGCAGGTATTGCTGCATCAGTTACACTCAGATCAAGTCTGAAAGCTTTTCTTGCGAAAAGAGAGATTTATTAACTTGGTCAAAACTTCCCCATTTTGTACTGTGCTGTCCATCTTCTGCTTCCTTTACCCTCCCACCCATGAGATATTAGTGATAAAGCAATTTCCAGTTTTGCCAAACACCCCTGACCCCATGTTCAAAAATCATGAGTCAGGCCTCAAAAAATCTTGAGATTTGCTTAAAAATCAGAATATTTTTAAAATAAAAAATGTGGGGTTTCTCTTCATTTGTTTTTCTGGTGTTTGAGCCTTTAGGGTTCCCATTTTCCAGGTTTTCTTAGCATCAATGAGGGCTAGAAACTTTTTTTAAATGAAAGATGAGATTCTCATCTAATAACATGACTCCAAGAGTTGGGGCCTTCAGAAAAAACACCAAATATTGCAAGACTCATGATAAAAATTTTGACAGTTGGCAGCACTGAATTCTTGTGTGTATACCATTTATCAAACTCTTTGAGATGACATGCACTCATGACATGTTCATCTAAAATGTAGTTGTTGAAGATACTATTAAAAGGGTGCTATCAACTTGAAAACCACATTTTCCACTGAATAACCATGCATCTGTGTTTACAATAACACCTAAAATTATTGGACTGGAGAGAGATTACAGAGAAAACATTTTCCAGTTTATTTATTTTGTGCGTTTAACATCCCTTCCAATCAGTTTCACTGTTCTAGTGTTGGTCAGTTGCACTTCCTGTCTCCTATTTTAGCGGGATGAAATCACCCTCATGAACTAGGAGAGCTCACATGTATGTTCTTTCACAGCAAATGCAAGAGGGTGTTAGCAGAAAATCTGAAACTGAGGCAGCAGGCGGCATATAGACAGGAATGGGACAGAGCATATTTATTGGTATTGCTTTCAGGACTGCCCTCCCTCCCCAGATAGAATGAGCCTTATAAATATCAGCAGAGAAGAAAAATCTTTTATTTTTTAAGAATTAAAAAAAAAATCTACATGCAGTTTAAAGGGTGCTCTATCAGAAACTTGAATTATTTTAAACTGACTTCTTTTAATTTTCCAGGGATCACAAACCTTTCATTAGAAGTATAATTTTCCTTTTTGTTACAAACTGATTGTTGTAATCCCCTTTTAGACATAATGCAACAGAAATATAAAGCCCGAGATCCATGCACAAAAACCATGTGCAATTGCACAATACAGCTATCATAATTTTGCACACAAATCAAGTATTTGCATATGCAAATGATCACGGAATCCTCTGAATCATCATTTGTTCATGCAAATACCTTGCTTGTGCATGCGGTTGTACGAATTGTATGCACATCCACGCACACAATTGTACATGCATTTTTGCATGCACAAGTGGGCTTCTACATTATAAAAATGTAGTCCAAAGAGCTTAACATTATATATTCACTTGCTGATTTTTAACTTGACCAGCAAGTAAAAGCTATTTAAATCTTCATGAAACTTCAGAGTTTACAGCTGTTGGAAATTATACAGCCACTAACTGACTGACAATAACAGAGCACTAGAATGTCTATCATTTCATAGTAATGTGCATGTAATATATCCTTAAGTTGGGTGGAAATAATTGTGTGCTCAAATTTTTTCTCCACATTTCAGCCAACATTGGAGAGAAGTGTGGGTCTGTTTGTCCCACTTACACCTCGCCAGATAACCGCACTAATGTGAACTTTATTATTTGCCATTATCATTATGAATGATATCTTAGTTACTTTCTGAATGTTTAGTTTGCTTTAAGATGCACAATTAGTGTTCTTGCACAACTAAATGGGTGTAAGCAATGTCTATGAGCCTCATAACAGAGCAGTAGGTGTGCTGTTCCTTTATTTATATGATTTTGTGTTTTTTCCCTTTAGATTAAAATATGTAAAGGTCTCATTACGGTAATTGAAAAAGGTAAGAGTGACACCTCGAGCAGGCTACAGCACTGGCATCACGCTAGATTTACTAACCAGCTTCCTTCCTTCCTTCTGTTGCTAATATAAAGCTGAAACAACTCTTGGTTTGTGGGGTCTCTCTCTTGCACTGCAGTCCCACCTCATCTTCAGGCCGGGTCTCTTTTTCTTCCCCCCAAAACATGAGTTCCAAGCTCTGTGCTGGAAAAGAGCGACCCTGACTATGCCCATCTCTGAGTAGCAGCTCTCAGAGCCCGGCTGCCTGCCCTGTTAGCATCCCCCTGCATGTCTGAGAAGCACATACTTTTTTTTTCTTTCTTTCTTCTGCTCCTGTTTGCTGCAGGCGGAATCTGACACCAACACCTGCCATAGTGGAAAATGTCTTTGTTGCTTTGCACTTTTGTTTGAATTGCTGCAGGGGAGCCAATGGGAGTTAAGTCCATTTACTTTTTTGTTGGCTAAGCACCATGGAATAGGATCTTGAGATGGGGCCGATAAGGAGCGGCACGTGCTGTGCTGGCCCTTTGAGTTAGCTCAGCTTAATAAGGGCCTCCCTTTCTGGGGAGGGCAGATTGCTGAACTTGGGCCTCTGAATGGAACAGCTGGGGGAGGAAAAGAAAACAAAAGAGGGGAAACACAGAGTGCCCTGAACCTGGCGATTGGGGGTGCGGTTTAGGACCCAGAGAGCAGGCCGGCCGGCCACACGCCAGGTGTGACCTTTGCAGGCTCCTTGGTTCTGTTTGTTTGTCTGGGCAATTTCCAATGCACTGATCGAATGGAAGGAAGCAGCCTGACAGCAGCATGCTGGCTGGATACGCTCAGTGGTAGGCTGGGCTTAGGCAAAGAGGGCTTGAAGCACTGAATTAACTCCTTGAATCCTGATTCACAGATGGATGCAACCCAAGCGCCTTTAAATAATAACCTGTCAAACTAGAAGCTCAATGGATTGATGAACGGGTATTTATAACCCACATTGTATCATCTAAAAAGTGTTCCATGCTTATAAATGATTGATTGTTTTACGTTACCCGAAATGAGGATTTTAGGCTTAGAGTATCTTTTGGTAGGTGTTTGTGTTTGAATTGTGTATTTGAGAGGGCGAAAACGGAGCCATCTGTGAATCAGAATCTCAGACTCTAACGTTGATTATTTAGTGATGGACTTTTTTACCAGGCCATTTTTATAATTGCTTTGATGAGTTAAAGCTTTTGTGCTGCCTATTCCCCCCCCCCCCCCCCAATTTAGGATATAAATTTAGATAAACCTCCTTTGGGCTGTTGGAAAATCTTGAAATCTCATTGTAACCTTTACATTAATGTATTATTTATTTTTACATATGTGGGTATTGTCCTGTTTCCTTTCACTAAACTGGTGCATAGTTAAGTGGGCTAGAGTGTGTTATCTGAATAAAGTTCCAAGCTTCCATTGCGAGAGAAGGCCAAGTAATTTGAGTTTGTGCCAGACAGCTTGCAAGTGGAATTATAATATTTGTATGAAAGCCTTTATCTTTTGTGGTTATTACTTGCTCATTCTGCAGCTGCTGTCTACCTATCAATCAAGACGGTTTAGAGGGAGCTTCAAGGTTGATTGCATAGTTAAGGACTTGCCAGAAGAAAGTTTTGACTGATGGAATGTACAAACTCTAAAGGCTAAAGGAATGTTGTGGATGATTCTAAATGCTTAGGTGTGGCTATGCCTTCTTACCCACTGTTTGAACTGCACTGCTTTTCATATGCGCAGGAGCTGTATTGTTGAGAGCTTGCATGAATATTGCTTGAGCTTGTCCATTTGGTGAAAATTGTATTATTTTGACCATCTGCCATTCTGCTTAGCTGCAGGAATGTAAAATACAGCACCACCCTCCCTCCCCCTCCCCTCCCCCCACTTTCTTTCTTAGGGAAAACACAGCAATTTTCCAGTTCTAAGCCAAAACTAATAGGTCCACATTTTTCACAGAAAATGTCTTTGCATATTAAATCACATTTTTCACTTATTTGGAAGTGCTTTTTTTCTGCTCAAAACAGTTGACTTAAAATATAAAACTGGTAAGTAAAAAGTATAATTTGAAATGTGAGTATCAGGTTTGATAAGTAATTTAAGAATTTCAAATGCACAGTAAATGCTTTCAGATTAACAGCAACTAAATTGTCCGTTCTTTTGTTTTTTCATGCATGACAATGATATTTATTAACATAGTTGCATTTCATGAATACAAGTTTCACTCTTGTCATGAGTGCTGTGTTTTAAACCTTACAGTAAGGAAATAAACTGAGACACTGTCTATGCTGTTGCATTTCCAGACTGCTTCTAGGAAGAAGTAAGATTAATACAGGCGTCTAGCTCACAGTGGTGCAGCTGAATTTCTAGAAGCACTCAGAAGACAACCCAGGATTGCTTGCAGCTACACCACTGGGAGTTGCTTTTTGTGTAATTGATTTGTGAGAATCTGTCTGCTAAACTTATAATTTTATGAAATATACTTTCTGTAAAATATCTTAACCCCTTCAGGGAGGAACTAAAGCCGTGGAGTCATGGTTAGAATGCCAGCTGCAGTCATTAGAATGGGTCCCTTCTGTCAGGCGTCAGGAAAGAATTATTCAAATGAAAATGCTTTAGTTTAGAAACATACTGGGCTGGGTTCACCAGTGCGCTGAGGCTGCTTTCCACTGCTCCAGCAAAGCAAAACACCCATTAGACTGGGTTTACAGCTCCTTTACGCATCCATAGCATGCAAGGGAGTCTGGCTCATTAGTTTTATGGTCACTACAAGAAGGGATGGGATGAGGTAGTTTAGTGGCCCTAAGCATCAGGTTTAAAATACCTAGAACCACATGTTCAAGTCTCAGCAGACTCAACTTAGTCCTTTGTCCTTCCAAGGTAAATGGAATATCATGCAGTTTACTACATGAGGATCTTTCAGTTAAGACCTTACAAACTGATGTCCTGTCTTCTTTTCTTGGATATGAAAGATTTCCTGACAGTTTTCATAAGGGCACGGTTTACCCCATGGTTTCTGGGCCAATTATTTCCCTCCTCCCACTGTTGTATAGCGTGCTATTCAACCAATTGGTTGCCAGCCTCCACTGCAGATGTAATTCAGTAGCGGATGCATTTCAGTGGTGGTGTTTGTGCACAGTATTTGCAACGTTTTGGGATCATTCAGGATGCAAGGAGCTATAAACATGTAAAACGTTATCTTAACACAAGTAAATTAAATCCAGGTACAGGAGCAATCTGAAAAGATAGTATGTAGATAAATTAGAAATGGGCTTACGCTGCAAAACGTAGCTCTAGGTCTGAAGTTTGTGGATGCTCAGCTCTTTATAGACATAGAGGCTAACTGTGAAATTTAGATCTAGGTTTGAGTTTGGATTCTGAATCTTCCTCCTCCATCCCCAGAGGTTTGGAGGTGTTTGGATAAGGGGCTTTGCTTCAGTCCCATCCCTAATAAAAATATTTGTATTGAGGATTTACAGGGAGAACTATACCATTGTTTAAAAATATTGTACCAGGAGAGAGCTGATGAAATGGCATTCACGCTTACAGAAATGTCCTGGGACAAGTCAAAACGACAGTAGCAACAACAGAACTGTGTTGCAGCATGCATTTTTGTATTCCTCAGAGCATGATTATAATTGCACCGGGGAAAGACAAGAGTTGCACACATGCTTTAATATTATTCATTTACTTTTGAGTTTAATAGCTGTGTCCTCATCTGTTCTCATTCAGACAAACTATTTAGTCCTGACCTCTAGTTGTAATCACCTTTTGGGAATAAATGAGTTGTAACTTAAATGTGTAAAATAACAATGTGTAAATACATGTGGACTATATGATAGCCAACAGGGATTTGCTAAGCTTTGCATAAAGTTCTTAAATAGCCTTCTTAAATACAACAGAAATTATGGTGATTTCGTTTACTGCTTCCTTAGTGGAATTGTTTAAAAAATGTTGCTTTTTTTCTCTTCAGCATCAGCAGTTAAGGCACCTTACTGTTGTATGATCAGAAATATTAATACTAAGGAAACTAATTTTCAGTCTTCAGAAACAGAGAAATTAAATACTGCAGAGCCATTCATTGAAACACAAAACAAAGACTAGCACCTTTAATAATACATGTGCAAGAGGGAGATTTAGAGCTATATTGTACCTTTAAGCACCAACCTAGGAGTAGACCCCAGAGGCACCGTGACCCAGAAATACTCCTCTGAGTCTCTCACAGTTCCTTCCCTGCTTCCTCCTTGCTTCAGGGGGCACCAGTAAATTATAACACCCTCTGTGCCAGCTCTGCTGAACTGGCCAGCACATTGAGAGAGTGGAGCCAAGACTCTACTCACTTCTCCACCCCTCCCCACACACCTGCTCTGAGGTGGGGGAGGAGCTGGCACTCATTCCTGCATTCTGTCTCACGGTCTGGGTAGCCCGCAGAGGGGTGTGAAGAAGGTTTGTACTCCCCTGCCTGGGCACTTAGTCCAACTCACAGCCTAGCCCTTTGATACCTTCTCTGGAAACAGCCAATACCAGCCTCCTTACCATGTATGAGAAGCTCATTCTTCTTAACCCTTAGGGTCCTTGGACCAAATACATTCCTAGAGCAACTCTGGTCAATTCAGTGGAGTTGTACGGGATGAATTTTGGTTTCTTTTTTGTATTTTAGGAAGCACTTTTGTCATTGGACGCATTCTATTGTTCTAATAATACTTCTTTATTTTCTTTGCCCACTTGCTTTTCAGGCTGTATCGCTATGAGTGCGAGTGCTGATCTTACCGTAACCACAGGAATAGAGTTAGCAGAGCAGACCTCTCCAACACTACCCCATGCCACGAAAACTTCGTCGCTGTGCTAGTGCTCTCAGCAAATCTTCAGATTAAAGCACTTTGGAAGGGGAAGCCCATTCGAGGGAATCTGAAAAACAAAACCAGAATAAAATCATTTACTGTATCAATAGAACATTGCTACATGCTTTGGATGAGCACATAAGGAAGTAGCTTCCCTTATGTTGCAAAACTTAAATTATTGATGGACAGCTATCACTTGATTTACCCATCATGCATTACACTTGATTATTGTTGTCACCGAAATAACTATGTCAAAACTGGATCTTTTTCAATGTGTGAAGCATTTAACTGATGTGGGGTAACTGACTTATTTTCCCTTAAAATCTGTAGATGCAAGTACAGCTGTCACAGGAAGAGGATGCAAAGCAAGTATTGAAACCAGTTATTTAATTTACTTTCATTGTGTTGATCATTTAATCATTCCAATTATAGTTTAACACTTGTGTGTATATTAGCAAATTTTGTCTAAATGGTAAACAA